GAGAGAGAGAGAGAGAGAGAGAGAGAGAGAGAGAGAGAGAGAGAGAGAGAATGAGAGAGAAAGAGAGAATGAGAGAGAAATTGAGAGAAAGAGAGAATGAGAGAGAGAGAGAGAGAGAGAGAGAGAGAGAGAGAGAGAGAGAGAGAGAGAGAGAGAGAGAAAAGAGACAGAGAGAGAGAGAAAGACAGAGAGAGCGAGAGAGAGAGAAGAGAGAAGAAACCCCAATAATAAGAAAATAATCATCCAGCGCGTTCGATCTTATCACCCCCGCCCTCTCACACCGAGCTATCTATCTATCCATCTATCCTCCTCCTCCCCCCACCTCCTTCTCCTCCCTCCTTCGCTCGGGATGGGGACGAGTGAGTGGCCCTTATTAACACCCCCGTCGGTCCGTCGGTCGGTCTCGGGTGAACTACCGCTGTCGGGACCGCGGAGAAGAAAAGACAGGGAGATGCGACAGAGAGATAGCAGTCGACGTTGATGGATGCCCGTGGGGGGGGGGCTACCTCGTCGCGGTAATGATGATGATAATGATGATTCTAGTAACAGTAGCAGTAGCAGTTGTTGTTGTTGTTGTAGAAGTAGTAGTAGAAATAGTAGTAACAGTAATAGCAGTATTGGTTGTAGTATTGTTAGTAGCAGTAATACTACTAATACTAAAGTTAAGAACAAGAATGACAATAATAACAATAGAAATAATCATGATAACAACAGCAGCAATAACAAGAACAAGACCAGCAATACTAATAACACCAATACTAATAAAAATGACGACGTAATAAAAAGCAAAATAATACAAAAATATAACAAAAATATACCAGAACCAGGATTCCGTTTTACTTGCAGCCGGGCACCTAGGTTCCCACTCTTAGCCTTTGCATGAGCGCTACAACCACGTCGTCGGAAAATTGGCGGAGATGACGGGCGATAGCAGCCAACTAACGGTGCGCATTAGAATATTCATAATACAGACGCTAAAATAAGGGGTAAGTTTTCTATGTATATAGGAATATAAATATATATATATATATATATATGTGTGTGTGTGTGTGTGTGTGTGTGTGTGTGTACATGTGTATATATGTATATATATAAACACACACACACACACACACACATATATATATATACATACATATATATATATATATATATATATATGTGTGTGTGTGTGTGTGTGTGTGTGTGTGTGTGTGTGTGTGTGTGTGTGTGTGTGTATGTGTATGTGTGTGTATGTGTGTGTGTGTGTGTGTATGTGTGTGTGTGTGTGTGTAAACACATACATACATACACATACACACACACACACACACATATACATATATATATATATATATATATATATATATATATATATATATATACACATACTTACATACATGTGTATGTTCTGTGTGTGTGTAAATTGCATAAGATTATACGCACAGGCAAAGGCAAAAAGGGATAAACTGCTGAATTTGCAAGATATAATGCACAATCTCATACTGACTTCAATAATGTTAATGGCAATATGTCAAGCAAGACCGTAATTTTTTTTATCTGCCCCAGTGCGAGCTCCCAAGAGCTGATACATACATGCGAACATTCACGAGTAAATAGAGTAAGAAGACAGAAGACACGTATACACACATAAACGTGAATAAACAGTCAATAAACAAATACCATTAACGATAAAATAGGAATAGCAAATAAAGGATACAGAACAAATAAACATAGCTACATGGACGCAAATATAAACAATAATATATCTGCCAACAAGCTCTGGGACAGACACCCAAGCACACACATACAGACACAAACATACATGCACGCACACACACACACAAACACACACAGGCGCAAGCACAGGCACACACGTACACGTGAGCACACACAGTTTCGAAACATTAGCACAGACAGGTGGATGAGTGTAATCAAACAGACCATTATATCATCACTCTATCAACTAATATCTGTTTACTAGAATGTCATCCTTCGATCCTGATAACACAACACAAAATACAAAACCTACGACATCCATCAAATAAATATTTCTAAGAGGCAACATTCAGCTAATGGTTCTACACTTGCCTAAGGGATATTAATAAGATTACAATTAACGACAAAAACTACCAGCGCATTAGCGGTTACATCGCGACAGCTTTTGCCACAATCCCCTGATATGAATGCAAGACTGCGATCACATGGATATACTTAGGACTTTCCTTATCCTCCAAGTCTATGAGGTAATTATGTAAATGATTAAAAGGTTGTTTGTTTGTTTTTCTTTAATAGCATTCGTGCTTTCGTGTAATGATGTAAAATACACACACACACATACACACACACACACACACACACACACACACACACACACACACACACGCCGTACACAGTATATAGAAGCATACATCTGAAACTAAAAGAATATTATAAGGACCTGATAATAATAATGGCAAGTATTATAATTCCTGGCCAGTGCATCTCATAGCAATACTCTCTGCCCTTTTATAAAGCCACA